TCTCTCTGCCGCAATGGCATATGGGATTTCTAGTTTTCTTCAATCACAGATCCTGTGGATGATCTGTGAATAAATGATGCGTCTGTGTGGACAGAGCTACGCACAGCCACACCGAATCCACAGGAGCCTGCAGGGAAAAGCACCCCGCGATTCAGGTATGAGGGTGGAGGGCACCATATTCCATGTTATACCCTAAATATGAGTGTAACATGGAATTGAAGTGACACTACACTGGGGAGTTAAGTCTTAAAAATGCATTCAGGTACCTTAACCATGAACAATACTGGACCGTATCTGTGCATCACTCAGCTGTAGAGCCTCAAATCATCTCAGAATTGGTGCTGACACTGTCCTTCCTTCTGGAGGGGGGCTACTTTTGTTCCCCATGGTCCCTGTGTGTGTTGTAAAGTAGCCACCGCTCAAAGCTCGCTCCCGTAATAGACTACAATCTCTATACAAATTAGTAAACTAAACATGAGATTGTAGTCCATCACAGGAGGGAGTTTGGAGCGGTGGCTACTTTACAACACACATAGGGACCATGGGGAACAAAAGTAGCCCCCCTCCAGAAGGAAGGACAGTGCCAGCACCAATTCAGAGATGATTTGAGGATCTACAGCTGAGTGATACACAAATAAGATACATTTTTATTAATAGTTAGGGTACTTGAATGCATTTTGAAAATTTAATTTCTGAGCTTAGTGTCACTTTAATGTTGGAATTAACCTTTCATTGCCATAGGGGAAGAGACTAAATACTAACATATCTGTAAAGAGCAATATAATGGAAGTCCCATCACTGAACACAAGCTTACAGTATTTGTAGGTTCACTAGTTGCACAAATTACCTTCTACTTTCTCTGCAGCCCAGTACAGGCCAGCAGTCTCCAGTATCCAGGCTTCCTTTCTGTCCGCTATCAGGAAACTGTTGTGGTAGGTAAATGACATCTGACTTTCCATGCAGTTCCCCCCTTGTCCGTACTTTTCTAACAGGCCAACAAGGACATCCAAGGCTCCCTCCGCTGTTTCTGCTCTCTCCAACCCAAGCCTACAAGAGATATGCAAATATAAGGATGTGATGAAACTATCCTCCTGGTTATTCCTTCCGGCTTTAAAAATGCATTTCATTTAACAACCTGACAAGATCCATGCCAAGGAGTGCTTCTTTATCATCAATTTCTTCCTTTCCCCACACTGCTTCGTTTCCAATGCATACGCCAAATTCGTTGGCTCCCATCTCAGCTCCCCACAACCAGGATGGGCGACTCAATACCACGGCATGAGTCTTCTCCACTTGGTCAATCTTAATGTAAGTGCTCTAGTGGGAAAGAAAAGTAGAAGAACAAATAAGAAACATCCATCAGGCATGTCTATGCAGCAAAATTGGTATCTTGGGAATAATGACCTCCAGCTTCTCTCCTGCTCCATAAGTCCTTCCAGGGAAGTATACGATCTCCTGTACTTCATCACTGGGCCTGTCCGAGTTCTTCCCAAAGATAATCCGGGCACCAACCGTTGCAGGGGGAAGAGCTACGAAAGTGTCACATGAGCAGGGTTCCATGTTGTCTCCACTGCCTGCAATATGATTTACAGAAGGACTTGTATAACAAGGAAAATATATATTTATGGGACACACACACTTACAATTAAGACTATACATACAGGATAGCCATCGTGCTTTTACATTTCTACATTTATATTTAGTATTTAACCATTATCGGATGAAATATTTCATCTTTAGATGTCAGTCTGAGGCCTAAGGGCGATGACCATGTCTAATACGAAATGTACTGGAATACAATAACGACAACTTGCTAAGCCTAAATCTTGGCATCAAAATCAACTACATATGCCACCTGGTGGCCAAAGACAGCAATGACAGCACCTCATACTGAATTTGATGAAGAATTATTGCTGGCCTCCTTCTGAAAATGCTGGTTGTCTGGCTGTCATGCTAAATTGTAGGCCTATATATTTTCTGAGTTACTGACCTGGAACAAGTGAGCAGCAGGTAAAGCTGGAGTTCATGGTAAAAATCCTTTTTCCGTATCAATGATTTAAAAAATAATTGAGGCTAAAGGATCAGCATGACAGCCAGGCATATGGCATTTCCAGAAGGTGGCCAGCAATAGTACACTTCATATGTGAATACGTGGCATAACTATTTAGGCAAATGTTTTAGGGCCAGATCACACGTAGGTGGCACGCTAAATGCATAATACTGTGATGGGAATTTATAAAAAAAACTGGAGCAGAGAAAATCTGGAGCAGCTGTGCACGGCAACCAATCAGCTTCTCTCTTCAGTTTGTTCAGTTAAGATTTGAAAATGAAAGAGAGAAGCTGATTGGTTGCCAGGCACAGCTGCTCCAGTTTTGATTCATTCCCCTGTGTGTGTGTGTGTTTAGTGCACACTATCACGCAGCACAATTAGCATGTGGTACCATGTGCTAGGTGCGTACCGTTGCCATTCAATTGCATGGCACCTCCTGACAGCCGTATGTTGCAGTGCGACTTAGAATACGGTACATTCTTCTGCGGTACAAAAAGTAAAGCACGCACTACATTTCCCACCACAATGCACGGGACTGCGATACTACGCACTGAGCTGCAATGAACGGCCGCCGGGAAGTGTTTTGGAGTTCTGTTCAAATAAATGGCAATAGAACAAACCTAGCACACGTTACCACACGCTAGATGCACTGTACAACAGCGTGCGCTGAACGCATGGTATTGTGCATTTAGCGCACTGCTTAGGTGTAACCCGGCCCTTAGTGTATCAGGTGTCAGGACTATACTCCGAATCAATCTGCCGGGTATGTGTAGTGGATTGATCTGCCAATTCTGAACACACCAATAAAGCTGAACTCTGAAGATCAGCTGACATGGTGGGAATGAGATGTTAGACACAAAGCTGATTTAAGGGGTATTTCTACTTTTGCAGTCAGATTTGAGAAACCCCCCACTTGATGTTTGTTATGTGTTCCCAATATCACAGTATAACCTAAATATATATTTATGTTTTAATGTTTCTGACCTTTCTAGTAGTTTCTTTGGAGAAGATTAAACATAGGACTCCATGGAAAAGCTTCTATTGGCTTAAACAGATGGCAGTGTGCAGATAAAGGGAGCGTACATGAAAGGACCATGTTCATCTCTCTGACCATGTTTACTAATACACCTGTATTCAGGGTGTAACATGAACCAGGGTCGCATCGGGCCTTCCACTTACCTGAATCATAGGGTTCTCTCCCCCCCACACATCCTGCTGATATTTTTTTTTAATCTGGTGCGGATGTGCACGACTCTGCCTACACAGGCTTGTCATTCATTCACAGATCCTCTGACAGGGTCTAAAAATGGAGCAACTATCGCATCAGAGGGACTTGTAGATCTCAACGGAATACAAGTGCAGTGACGTCACCACACTGGTAGCCCCTTCATTCTTCTGTCCATGTTACTGAATATCCAGACCTCAGTACTGACCAGGAGCCAGAGTATTGCACCACTGATTGCGGACAAGCCTGCCCCTAAGGTATTCACTGTGATGTGCTGTTGTTCCAGGAGGGGAAGGGGGGTGCGTTATCAAAAAATGATTACTGAGGGGGTGCTGGCAGGGAATGATCACTGTAGGGGGGCAGCATGGTTGTTGTGCTGATTTGTTGTTTAGGAGGAGAGGCAGACACCGGACCGTGCTATCAGCGGCTCTTTATACTGTATCTTGCCCAGCTTACTGACGTCACTGGCTGCCAGGAGCTCAATGTGGCACCAGCCAGAGCATCCAGCTCAGCTCCCTGGCATACGGTCACGTCAGTGAACTGGTTGGGAAGCTACACAGAGCATTCAGCAACTTGGGATACTGCGGCCACTTCCCCCGGGATGCTGTGGCCCCACCACTCAAACCGGCCAACCAAACCCCCCCCCACCCCCCGCTTTTTTTGGCGCGTTTTTATGCTCACGTTTAGATTGTGACATATTGATGTGAATGGGAAAACGGTTAAATGTAAATGGTAAAATGCGCATAAAACGCACAAAATAATTGTGTTGCGTGTTTCCCAGCATTTCCTATTGAGTCTATGGGGACAAATCATGCTGATCTACGCCCCCCCAAAAAAAAAAAAAAAGGTCATGTACTTTTTCCAGCGACAGACACTTTTTTATGCACAATGCTATGCTCAGGTGTGAACAGGCGCTATAGAAATAAATGGGATTTTTTTGTCCTGAGCGTTCCAGTGCATACAAACCACTTAGTGTTGAAATGTAGATCAACAAGGAGATCAGCCAGCACAGTATAGACAGGGTTAATTATGGTAAACATTGACTCCCCACCAACCCTCCTTAACATCACATTGCAGAGGTTGCCAGCTAAGAATTTTCCACAAGTAAAATATAAGCAGCAAATTTTCAATATTTTTAAAGTCTGCAATGTGAATGGGAACATGTCACAAACATGACATAGGTGTTATCCCAATCTGCCTGCAAAAGTAGAAATACACTTTAATATAAACAAGATATAACACAGCCTCCCTCATTCACCTATAACTCCTGTAGGGGAGATCTCCCTACTCGGTTCCTGCAGTTGCCCCTCCAGCCAGGAGACGAACAGCTGGTTGTCACAAGTATGTCAAAGACGCCATATTGTGACTGGAAATCTACCGCCGCCATCCATTAGCGTCATTGACGTCATCTCCAAGCGTAAAACCTCTTAGACAGCTACGTGCGGGAGGAGAGAGAGAAGAGGCGTAAAACGTGTCTCCGATTTAATACCAAGAACTTGCTGTGGCGGCCATTTTTCCGTAGTACAAATTTCTGTGATAGAACGAATTTTATCTCATAGAAAATGACCGCGGAGACGGAGACAGTAAACGCCTTCCTAACTTCTCTGGAAAGGACTCGTTTTGGCTGGAGGGTGTGTCGTTGTTTTGATGACGTTTTCATATCACGACCCTCCACAGACGCACATCCGGGAAAGACACAACAGGAAGTGGTGTTGTCCCTGGGATGTAGTGTTGATGGTGTAGGTTGTGGCAAGTCTAGAGTTTTACTAGTGAGATCGTCCCTGGAGAGCAGCAGCCATGGGCAAGTCATTTGCCAATTTCATGTGTAAAAAGGATTTCCATCCTGCCTCCAAATCCAACATCAAGAAGGTGAGTAATGTCTACTTAGGTTATCATTGTATCACCATTGAAGTGTATCTAAAGCCCAAACCGTTTGGCCTGAATAGTTCATAGGTAAACCTCCTCTCAGTTGTTTACGTGTCTCATTGGAGAGCTCCTCTTCACTTCCTGTCCAGGGGACACAACAGGAAGTAAACCGAAATCTCTTCAAAGTGTGGGGAATCCCCTCTTAGTTGTCAACAGAACAGACGTGTCCCCCTTAAAAGATTTTCCTTCTGTTCCTGTTCTATAATTTGGGTTTCTGTCCAGATGACAACAAATTGGGTGAAGTTCCTTAGTGGGGACAGTAGATGCCTGATAGAGCTGCTCCTAAACAGCTTCTCTGTCAGCTCCTGGTTGCAATAACGTAGTAAACATTTCCAGCTGGGGCAACGTTTCATTAACCCTTTTGGGACCAGATGGCTATATGACCAGACTGAAGCTGACCATACACTGTTCTATTTTTTTCCTTCAAACCCGCGGGCTGAACAGATTCCTCCATCAACGCTTATGAGCATTGATCAAGGAATCTCCCGCTCTCTTCATTGTATTCTGATAGCAGCCGCCAGCCACTGTCAGAACATCTGAACAGAGCTGGCAGCTCATTGGCTTGTTTGTTCGAAGATTTCATGACCGGCTCCTTCGATCGGCTGATTGAGAGAAGCCAACTGAAAGGGGACTGACGGCGGCGCCCGCTGTGTGAATTCCGGCTTGTTCATCAAGGACTGGCCGCAATGCGCATAGTATATGGCCACCTTTTAAAGAAGAAGTGTTAAAGATTTTCCTGGCAGTGCGGGGTAGCCGCAGTGCAAGGGTTAATTTGAATAAAAACTGCTCGTTTTGGTCTAGGAGCTAAATTAAACCAGATCCATTCACCTGATCCTCTGTCCTGTGGCAGTGACTGCTCACGTCTCTGCTCCGGCTGTGGTATGTCCCTCGGTGCCCTCACATCTAATAGACCTGCATTAGGTATGATTATGTCACAGGTCCTTAGACTGCTTGAGTCTGGAGGAGAAGAGGCTTGTGGGGACTGGTTCCGTAGCCAGGCAGGATGGAGGATCGGGTAAGTTTTATGTCTTTTTGTTTTGTCCGCAGACCAAAACGAGCACTTAAACCTTGCAGTGCTGCAAGGGTTAATTTGAATAATTCCTGGAGTTCTTTAGCTATGCCACTCGTCTTGACAATAACTCTATGACTCATTTTAATGAAATATAAGGCACATTGATGTAATAAAACCCTGCTCTTTTTTTAACATTTATTTACAGTAGGAAGATATGTGACTCATGTTTAAAGAAAGCACTAGTCTCAACTCACAGAAACGTGATCGTTTTCCAGTTGAATGTGATTTAAAATATCTGAAATAAAGATCCTTATCCTTGTGCCACAGCTGTGCAAATTGAGCTTAGTGCAGGGGTAGGCAACCTCGGCTCTCCAGCTGTGCTGAAACTACAAATCCCACTAGCCATTGCAAGCCAGAGGCATGACTCCCTGAGGCAGAAGCATGATGGGTTTTGTAGTTTCAGCACAGCTGGGGAGCCAAGGTTGCCTAACCCTGGCCTAGTGCATCAGACTGACTGCTTCTGATTTCTGGGGTGTTTCCTAACATTTACTGAGGAATGTTTTTTGGTCCTAGGTATGGATGGCAGAACAGAAAATATCCTATGATAGGAAAAAGCAAGACGATCTGATGCAGCAGTACTTAAAAGAACAAGACTCTTATAACAATCGGTATGTTCCAATGGTATATTCTCTGGTTGTTTCCAAAGCCCTCCCCCACATAAGCCGTGCTTTTCATGTCTTGTACTTGTGAATGCCAAAACATGCACAAGCGGGAAAACTGTATTTACACTTTATCTGTATCCACAGGGAAAACATACATACATACATACATACATACATACATACATACATACATACATACATACATACATACATAGATGAAATACATATATGTAAGCTGCTGTGTATGCAAAAAGATTAGTATTTCTGTCCATCCAATCCTGAGACTTGCACAGTTCTGCTGTGGAGTACAGCCAGGTGGATGATACCACTTGCAGTTAGTAATACACTGGTGTCCCCTCTCCACCCCTCCAGCCTTATTGGTGGACAGCTAAAAAGACTCAGAAGACTGATGCTCTGTACCAGCATGTTCCTTGTCAACACATTTGCATGCAGCGCACCTGCTTGGCTCCCAGTCTGAGTGATGTATAAGAATCACAAGAGGCTGATAGCAAGTCATATTCAGGTACTTGCACTAGTTACAATAAATTACAAAATACATTTAAGGGGATTTTCTAGAAACTGGAGCAGACAGAATTTGGAGCAGTTGCCCGTGGCAACCAAATCAGCTTCTCTCTTCCAGTTTCAAAGCTTAACTGAACAAACGGAAGAGAGGAGCTGATTGGTTACTATGGGCAACTGCTCCAGTTTCTGTCTGCTCCAATTTTGATAAAATCCCTTTGAGTTATATAGTAATGAACACAGAACTGCGTTTATTTATGTCTTTTATATCTACCCAGAGTTGAGCTTTACAACGCATGAGCTCATTTATATCCGGGGGTACCAAACAACTTTGCAAATGTAACACCTTGTCTCTGCCTTTTCTTTGCCTGAGTTGTCATCACAGACCCAGGACAGTTTTTAGATGACATTGTTTACATTGAGCTTGTCTGTGTTTGCACTGCAATTGCAGTCTGGGACACAGGTGAGAACACGTAAGGTGTCTGCTCCATTGACCTGTTTTCATTTAGTTTCTTTACTGCAGAGAGCTATTATTAGTAGTTTCTGTGCAGCAGTGCACTTGTGTACTCATTGGAGATCACAAACTGCTAGAAGCAGGCAGCACTTGCATAAGTTAAGCCAACTTTAGTCCCACCTATCCCCAGTTACATTTTAAATGCCCAATTTGTGGAAAATAAAATGCACATCAACATGGAATGTCTGAAAGGATTATTTATTTTTTTCTTCTTGTGATGTATGCTTGCAGAATTTGGCTTTTCTGCCTTCAGGCTGGCCACACAGTCACATTTTGATCTGGCGGATCAACAACATTTCTTAAGAATGGTAGTCAATTTAAAATGATTTAAAAAAGAAAGGGTGCGCATGTGCACGGCCATATACAAAGCGGTACAAAACTTCCCTAGCACACTCTTCAGATACTCTGCACACAAATCTCAATAAATGGGTTTTAACATCTGAGGTATTTGTTGTATACATGTGAAGCCGCATTGCCACATCAACGCACCTCTGTTAAGTGCGTTCCATAACTCAAAACTGTCTGAAGTTCCCAACTATGGGACATATATATATATATAGATAGATAGAAATGCATGAGGTGCAAGCTGACTGGCCTAAAGGCAGCCTTCTGCTTCTTAGACCTCATGCACCCGGGTGTCTGGGGATTCTTGCGTCAGGCATCTCAGTTGTACCCGTTCAGATCCGGCTGCTGTGCCCATTCAAGTTAATGACGGGGTGACATCGGCCGCATCTGTCTATGGCTTGCATAATATGATTACCTCTGGATCAGGAGAGATGCTTTGGTCCAGAAGCAAGCTCTCTGCGTCCTGGGGCAAACATCTTTTCCATTTCACAGGTAAATGTACGATTTGCTTGTAGACAGATGTGGCTGCTGTCACCATGTCATGAACTTGAATGGGCACGGCGGCCACATCTGAACAGGCACACCTGGGATTCCTGGCAAAAGAACCAGCAGACACCCATGTGCATGAAGCTTTAAAAATAGAGGAACACGGCAGAAGTCCAACAACACTTAAGGCAGCTAAAGGCACCTTGGAGCAGTGGGCTGTCTTCAGGTAAGCCAGCTCTCACCTTATGCATTGCCATTTATCCTGTAGTTGGGAATTCAGATAATTCTGAGTTATGAACAGCATGTTACAGAGGTGACAAATGTGTAAAATCTGGGCCTATGGGTGAGTCTTTGGGTCTAATTAGAGCTGCTGCACTGTAGACGCTGAGGTCACAATGAATATAAGTAATGAATGTGCAGCGCTAAGGATTGGTGGTAGGTTAGATGAACCTACTTTGATGTTAAGTTAGGGCTCTCTTAATTACTGTGCACAAATATTTAATGCAAATACAAGTGACCTGTGCACTCACAGGTGTGTCACTACCTCAGTAGTAACTAAATAATTATAAAGGTGCAATACCTGCAAAAGTGATAATGTGCAATTATAGTCAGATATATTATAAATGTAAATTATAGTGTACATAAAATAAGTGACAAATATGAATTAAGTAAATACATGCAATAAAAATAATTTCCATATGTGACAAACCTTCAAAGAATTAATCAAATAAATACATGCAATAAAAAAAAAATTCCATATATGAATGGCTCACACTTCATGTGATATAAATATATGGTGAAATGTTGCTAGTATTAAATCCAATATGTGCAACACAGTCCCAAGGTGCTTGAAAGGTCTTTCCCCACACCGCGTGTCAGTGTCCACTTCAACCGCCCCTTAGGGGTGCGCGCTCACCGCACTCTTGTTGTATGTAAACAATAGGAAGTTTAATTAATGAATCCCAGCATCCGTCCCAGCAATATCCCATAGGTCGGAGGATAGCGGAAATTACAAAAAGAAACTCCTCCTCTTGGTGTCGTAGGTAGAAACATTTATTTAAAAACACGTAGAAACTCACAGTTAAAAAAACGAAGAAACCGGCCGGTCAAACACAGCATTCAGATAGCCTGTACATCCGTTTAGTGCGTGGTATCGAATGGAATAGGCCCGTGTGGCTTCACATGCATTCATAAGTGTTTGCAGCAAAAACCTCTGTTTCACCCTGACATACTGAATCGGTTTAGATAGGTTTTTGTTTTTTCTGCTGACTAGCTGGACACATTCAAGACTTAATACTGAGTAATCTAAAGTTTAATGGGGGATTTACTGCACATAGCACATCAATGATCTTCAGGTGGGAAGGCCTGGAAGGCACAGGTGTGTTTATTTTACTGAGGAACACTACCCCCTGGATCTTAGAAATACCAGACCCCTGATACTCTGGGGTCTGAATTGTATCTAGAAATTGACTTTGGCCACTTTATGTATTTAGTTTTTACTACATATTATATATTTTTATTTTCCATCAACAGGGTACTTTTAGGTGATGAAAAGGTAAAAAGTGGGTTGAATTTCATGTATGAAGCACCACCAGGAGCTGAAAAAGGTAAATACTCATAATTATTTTAAACAGAATTCATAAATAATATACATTTTTAAGTTGTGTTTTTATAAGCAGTAAGCAGATATCTAATAGGAAATATTGTACATGAATATTTTATTTTTACTATTTCCAGCCAACAGATGGAGCTCTGGGCCTCTCTTCACATTCTTATTAGGCTGAGCTTTTCTGCTTTGCTGATAAAAGGCCTGCTCACAGAACGGAGTAACCGAAGCTCAGTTGTCGCACTTTGCACCCCCCACACTCTCTGTTCATATGGAACCATATAGAGTTTCAATTAGGCACGGAGACCAGTATGTGTATATGAGAATGTAGCAGGTGATATGCAAACAATACTTCAATATACAATAAATACAAATCATGGATGCAATCCATTGATCATGTGAAGGTAAAAATGAAAACATCATTTCTATAGCAGGTAACAGTCTGAAAATGTCTGTCCTACACATCAAGTTTTGCAAAATCTGACTTCTAAAAAGTTGGAGCTTAGGTGCATGTAAACACCACCAAATTCCAATGTAGCCTAGTTCTCAACTGACAAGCACCAGAATTAAAAGAGAACTATGGGGTAGGTGTTTGTCCCATAGTTCTCTTAAGGACCACGAGAGGGCATATACTAGCGTCCTCCCGTGACCCAAAGCTCAGTATATTGCGAGCTACAGTCCGCCGCAGCTCGGACGGATCCCGACAATGCTGTTGAGGTCCCCCCAGCTGCGTGAATGACAGCGGGCTCTGCCTATCTAGAGGCAGAAACAGCTGTGCCCACCCCCTCCCGGTCCGTTCCTCCAGTCAGCGCTGGAGGATCGGAGAGGGGAGAATCCCTGTGGGGAGCGGTGACTGACAGTCACCGCTCTCTGCAGGGAGATGATCGAGAAGTGAGCGACGGTATGCGTTCGCTTACTTCTCGATCTATTGAGCCGACGTGTGAGAGTTTCATTGTCTCACATCGGCTTGACCTATGAGAATGAATGGTTTTCACTCACCTCGTAGTTCTCCTTTTAAACTTGCCGCCTGTATAGCTCTCTTGGGACACATGAAATGTGTGCAATGGAAAACTTTGAGATTAAACCGGCACTGTGCTGCACACACTTGCATTGGAATCTTGAACTACAAGATGGGGGTCATATAAGGGGTGTGGAAATTAGTTTGATTCTGATTTTGTGAGCACTAACTTTTTTTTTCCTCGTCTTATTAAATCTAATTGCTCTTGTTTTGTGTCTTCCCTCCTCCCCCTGGGTCATCAATAAAGAAATAAAAGAGGTAAGCAAAGTAGTTAATATACAACAGCACTTCCTGTACCTTTTGGACACCTCTCAGCCTCATTTATTAAAGTGTATTTTCAGAGAAACTACGCAGCACAACAATCGGCAGGGCCTTAAAGATACTTTGATAAATTAGACTAGTTTTCATAACTGTGTCTCTTTGTGCTGCGTTTTATAGAATAGACAATTTGCATTTTTTTTATATTAAAGTGTATTTCCACTTTTGCAGATAAATTTGAGAAAACCTCACTATATGTTTGTGTTACTATTCACACAGCATGCCTATTCACACAGCATGCCTAAACAAAGAAAGTATTTCTTACCTTTTCTAGCTAGTTGTTTCTTTGGAGCAGGATTATACGTAGGATTCAAAGGGCGTCTTGTAAGCTATTCTGAGCAATTTTAAAGTAGATTTAGTTGGGCAAACTATTAGGTATTAAGACAAATTATTAGGTGCACTTTGCTAGTACCAGGTTGGACCCCTTTTTTGTCTTCAGTATTGCCTTAGCTCTTTGTGGCATAAATTTAACAAGGTGCTGGAAACATTCTTTAGATCATTTTGTCCACATTGACATGATGGCATCATGCAGTTGCTGCAGATTTGTCGACTGCACATCCAAAATGCGAATCTCCCATTCCACCACATCCCAGAGGTGCTCTATTGAAGATCTGGTGACTGCGGAGGACATTGGACACATTATCATGTTCAAGAAACCAGTTTGAGATGATTTTAGCTTTATGACCGGGTGCCTCATCCTGCTGGAAGTAGCCATCAGAAGATCATAAAGGATTGGACATGGACAACAACAATACTCAGCTAGGCTGTGGCATTTAAACAATGCTTAGTTGATACTAAGGGGCTCAAAGTGCGCCAAGAAAATATCCCCCACACCATTACACCACCAGCCTGAACTATTGATACAAGGCAGGATGGATCCATACTTTCGTGTTGTTTAGTCCAAATCCTGACCTGACCATCTGAATACATCGCAGCAAAAATCGAGACTCCTCAGACCAGGCAACGCTTTTTCAGTCTTCTATTGTCCAATTTTGGTGAGCCCTTGCCAATTGTAGCCTCGGTTTCCTGTTCTTAGCTGACAGGCGTAACACCCAGTGTGGTCTTCTGCTGCTGTAGCCCATCTACTTCAAGGTTCGACGTGTGTAAAGAGATGCTCTTCTGCATACCTCGGATGTAACGAGTGGTTATTTGAGTTACTGTTGCCTTTCTATCAGCTTGAACCAGTCTGGCCATTCTCCTCTGATCTCTGGCATCAACAAGGCATTGTAACCCAGAGAACTGCCGCTCAATGGGTATTTTCCCTTTTTCAGACCATTCTCTGTAATACCCTAGAGATGGTTGTGTGTGAAAATCCCAGTAGATCAGCAGTTTCTGAAATACTCAGACCAGCCCGCCTGGCACCAACAACCATGACATGTTCTAAGTCACTTAAATCGCCTTTTTTCCCATTTTGATGCTCAGTTTGTACTTCAGCAGATGTTCACCATGCCTAAATGCATTGAGTTGCTGCCATGTGATTGGCTGATTTAGATATTTGCATTAATGAGCAGTTAAAGTGACATTAAACCCCTCAGATTTTTTAACATAAAACAATAGTGTAATGTGCGCCTTACTGTAATCCATGGGTGTTTCCCTTCTCTTTGCTGCTCTTCCTTTAAATCTGTAGCTGTTCTCATGCTGGGCAGAACTTCTGTTTTGCAGCAGACTGCCTTGTCTATGGAATGGCTACATGGTGTCTGTGTATAGGTTTGCAACCTGAGCCAGCACTACAGGAAGAGGCACTCAGCTACAAAGGGAAGTTCTCCCCAAGCATGAGAAGACATGAGGATTTAAAAGGAAGAGCAGCAAAGAGAAGGGAAACTACCATGGATTACAGTAAGGCACACATTACAGTATTGGTTTATGTTAAACAAATCTCAGGGTTTAATGTCACTTTAAACAGTTGTTCCTAATAAAGTGGCCAGTGAGTGTATAATGTACTATGTAAGGCTTGACATCTTTAACACTTTGTTACGACAGACAGTGTGCACATCTAGTTTACAATCGGAAATTAGATCTGCCAGCGCAGTACAGACAGGGTTAATTATGGCAAACTACTCCACAACCCCTCTTGAACATTACATAGAACAGAAAGCTAGGTAGGATTTTTAAGCAAGTAAAAAGTTAAGCAGCAATGTTTAAATAGTTCTGCTATGTGAGTGGAAACGTAACAAATGTAAGGTAGTCAATATACCTGCAAAAGTTGAAATACATTTGGCTGATTTGTGATTTTTGGTTTCACGATACAATTAAAGCAAACCTGTCTCAGAAAATGAAAAAATGTGAGATGGAATAACTGCAGAGTGATAGAATCCGAAACTTAGCTGATTGAATAATCACCCTTCAAGCTCTGGAATTGGGGAATTGAGTGTTTTCTCTGACTTCTGGTCTATAGCCAGGTTTAGAAAAAACATTCTTACACCTATAACAGGAAACGAGGTAAAGTTGCTCTATTCCTGTATAACACACTCGTGGTGGAGTACCAGCTGTCAATGATGACTCATTTAAAGTGGTAATAAACTCTCAAACTTTTTTTCAATAATGAATCCAGATCATTGCTTTACATTTTTGCCAAAACACTTACAATCATTATGTTTCCGAACAGCTGCTTCCAGGTCTCCCAGCCAGCTTCTCTGAACTTCCTGTTCAGTACAAGTTCACAAAGGACAGTGCAGACTCCAGCAACTGTTCATCTACTAGCTGGAAGGAGGGAGGAGAGGGGGCCAGGCGGGAGGGGACCGGCTTGATTTGCTATGTCTGTGTGTTGATAGAGACACACACAGCTTACTAGCACACACAAGGGTGACTGCATAGCACTCTGCTTGAGAAAGGAGTCATTCTAAAGCAGCAAGTCAGGACCAGTGCTCAGGAGATCAGCAGATTCTTCCGGAAACTAAAACTTTTAAACATCAAGGAGCAACATTTATTGAAAGTGCTTTCATCAGCATTTGAAATAGCTTAAAATCCTTTTGACTTTAATATCACTTGGGTGCAGATCATTACTGTAACCTCTTGGTGTCACTGTTGGATTACAGAATGTGCAGAGCTCTGAGTCTCTTATGACTAGGTGTAAGAGACAGCTCATCTGTGTTTCCTTTAGCAACCATTTCATTCCTTTCACTGTAGGTGCTAAAGAAATTGAGGGCTGTTAGTGTTTGAGTTTATTCTCATTTTGGAGAGGCATCATGGCCTTGTGTACAGTCTGGGCCTAGAAGCTAGGGGTCTCTCCAGATACAAGGGACCTAATTTGAAGACAAACCTAGGCCCTTGCAGACTCCACAATGTGTTTATACACCTTTTAGGCCTCATTCACACACAACGCAAGCAAAATTGTATATTGCGTCTATGCGCGTATATGCGTGCACTATATGCAATCCCAGAATGCATCACTCGTAATGGAATTTTAATGTGCTGTACGCACGTATATGCGCGTAAATACGCAGAGATACGCTGCCCGGACGCATCCCTGTTCCATTCTGTTTTTGCGCATATATACGCTGCGCAAATATACGGCTCCATACGCGGGCTGTGTGTATGGAGCCATTTATTTGCATATGGTACAATACGCAGTGTGAATGAGGCCTTATGGACATGACGATCATTTTAAGGTGTTCTCTGCTTTTTTTTTCTTTTCTATAAACTACCTTGGCTGAACTTTAATTGGTGGGCAGTGATAAGCAGATCATGTCCCCCTACAGCCATTTTTTATAAGTATAGTAGGTCACATTGTGTACAGACAACTCCTAGCAGCCAGCAAAAATGAAAATTAAAAAAAAGAAGTGAATGAGTTACCTAGTGGTCTTCCTTCCCCTCTTTTCATACCTCCTTTTAGTTTTAACAATGCAGTATATTAAAATCAGCAATATAAATTAGGGCAAGCAATGCATTTAGACTTTAAACCTCTTCGGTTTATTATTACTTAACATCATTAGTATCTTTATTTTCTTGTCATTTTTCTTTCTCTTCCTTGTGCAGGAAGGAGAGACAACTGAATACAAATTTGAATGGCAGAAGATGGCCCCTCGTGAAAAGTAAGGAATTTCATCTAGCTTTATTTTAACAACATTTTCTATGCACAACGGCAACAAAATATCTAGTACACAGAAGCTGTATTGCTGTAAAACTTGCTTGTTGATAGTGTGCTGATGGTCAGCTATTACATTTGGTCCAAAGGATCTGTTCTGACTATATTACGGCACGTTAGGTTTTGATGATAGGTTTAAGATGAGAGAGAGGGGGTGGTGAGGAATGTTCAACAGAGCTAGCAAATGGCATAATATAGAAGGCTAATAGACATCTTGAATTTGAGAGACTACATTTCTAGGTAAGGAGGGGTGAGAGCACCCTTGCATAAAAGTTCAGTCTTCACTCAAAATGGACATGTAGTTCCTTTATATAAAATGGATGTTGTGCTGAATATGAACATCATAGTGGATTTCTCTTTCAGTAGCATTTACTATATTGCAGATTGTGTTAATCATGGTGAGTGTTTTTACTGTCCTCTACAGATAAGTATTCACTTTTTTTTATTATAGGTATGCTAAAGATGACATGAATATCAGAGATCAGCCCTTTGGTATACAGGTAAGAGTCATGATTTTGTGATTTGATTTGTGATTTTGGCTCCAAGAATAAACCATGTGGCAGAATGATTCTGTTGTTCATTGTGGAATTCAGAGCATTTTCTGGCCACTGGAAATACTCCACATAGGGAAGCCGCCAATGTTCAGTAGTATGTCCTCCTGATTAATACTGTGGAGAACACACAAACATAGGAGAGTTCTGTCTTAAACAGGTCATGTGACAGGTTTCCTTCTTTTGCACTGAATGGGGCTTCTCTTGGTCCAAAGTCATGAAGCACACTGCAGTGCTCTTCATTTGTCAGATATGGTTTTAATTGAAAAGAGCAGTATGGTCATGGTTGGGACATATGGCTGCTAAGTCTTATTTTCTGACTTTAGCATATCTGCGGCCTATTTTGTTTGCTAGTGTTGCACTTCTGACGAATAAACTCCACAGTGCGATCGGGGTTGGGTGAAATTAGGGTGCTTTAATATGAACTGCAATAGAATGGAGGACACTCATCACTGAGGGAACAAGTGTGTAACTGACTAAACAATAATACAGTATATGAAGCATAACAACTGTGCAGGTACAGTACAGAATTATTGTAATTAACATGTGCTCTGTCTGCTGGGAACATCCTCCCCCAAAGCTGCACTAAGGAAGATGCCACCTGTCCTATAATCACACTGCATTTACTTTCACTTGTCACAGGAACATTAGCTAGACCAGTTTAATCTATTATTCCAAGTTATGCTTATAAGAATCATCTCCCTTACCTGCAATAGAATGGAGGACACTCATCACTGAGGGAACAAGTGTGTAACTGACAGGAAGTTCCCTCAGAAACAAGTAACTAAGTTTCCCTTTCCACTTACTGTGCAGCAGGTGCTCTGGTAAATGTGTCCTCTCTCTACAAACAGAATTTTAGCTTGGAGTGTCACTGTGTCCTCTCTGTAAAAACCGTAGTTTAGCTTGGAGTGTCAATGTGTCCTCACTAAGAGAATCTTAAAGGAGAACTATGAGGTGAGTGCTTTTCACTCACCTCATGGTTCTAGCCGACCTGTGACAATGAGACTGTCACAGGTCGGCTTAGTAGATCGGGAGGTGAGCGAACACATACCGGCGTTCGCTCACCTCTCGATCCTGTCACGGCTCTCTGCCGTGACAGGGGAGGGGCTGGATTCCCCCCTCCCTGCTCTGTTTCGCCAGCGCTGACTGGCGGAGGGGGCGGGTACAGCTGACTCTGCCTCTAGATAGGCAGAGCCAGCTGTCAGTCACGGAGCTAGGCGGATCCCGGCACAATTGTCGGGATCCGCTTCAGCTGCGGCTTCTCAGTATACCGCGAGCTACAGCTCGCAGTATACTGAGCCTAGGGTGACGGGAGGACGCTAGTTTGTGTCCTCCCGTTACCCTAAGGAGAACTATGGGGAAAAGCCTTAACCCCATAGTTCTCCTTTTAACATGTTATTTTGAATATTATTTTGGTTGTGTCTAAGTTTATATTCTTTACACTAGCCTTCACTGATAGTTGTTGCTCTTTACCAAGTATGGGAAAACAAGGAGTTCTATGGCCGACCCACAATACTTGTAACCAGCCTGTTAATGCCCCCCTATACTATTTTATTAGGCTGGTAAGCCTTTTAAACCTATCGTTACACCTTTTTCCCCCAAAGACCAACAAAATTAGATATTACTTTTTAGCAAAAATATAAAAGCTTACCGCTTGCACCAAGGGTTCTACACCAGGGTGTCTACTTATAAAGCAGCAAGTTAACTTTCCCCAGACATTCTCAGGTGGAGAGTCAATCACTGTCATTTACCTGGAACATTCACTTGCAGAGAGTGTTTGCTTAAGACACCATTCACAACTGAGCGACATGGAAATCGCGCGACTTTGAGCGACGTGTCGCGCAACTTCTTCCTATTGGGCTGTATGCAATCAGGAGCAATATCGCTCAAAATCGCTCTAAAAAAGGGTCATGTAGGAGCGACAAGCTACCAGCGACGAGCTACAAGCGATATTGAGCGATGTGATGTGAGACTGTCACAGGTCGGCTCAGTAGATCGAAGGTGAGCGAACACATACCGGGTTCGCTCGCCTCTCGATCCTGTCACGGCTCTCTGCCGTGACGACAGGGGGAGGGGCTGGATTCCCCTGTCCCCGCTCCGATCTTCCAGCGCTGACTGGGGGAGGGGGCGGGTACAGCTGGCTCTGCCTCTAGATAGGCAGAGCCAGATGTCACTCACGCAGCTGGGCGGATCCCGTCATCTACGTCGGGATCCGCTCCAGCTGTGGCGTCTCAGTATACCGCAAGCTGTAGCTCGCGGTATACGGAGCTTAGGGTAACGGGAGGACGCTAGTTTGTGTCCTCCCGTTACCCTAAGGAGAACTATGGGGGAAAAACACTGACCCCATAGTTCTTTAACATCAGATTTACAGAGTACAAAAAAAAGTGTTTTTGTATTTTTTTTTTTAACCTTAGCTTGGTCCCAGACCACACCAATATAACCCTTTTGATTGTTAGCACCAACAGTAGGAAAAAGCAGGGAATTCAATGACTGCTCTAACATTCTTATTAAGAGTAGATATGGTTTAGGAGCACAGAACAAGACTGATGGCAGCAGTATTGGCATGCACCAACACTGCAGGCTAGGGTCATTGTGATGCAGTGCAGAAGCTCTGATGTGTAGAATGCTAAAAGCATTGATTTTATTTTACTAGAAAGTCATGTTTTTGTTTTGTTTTTTGCTTTTTTCCCACAGGTTCGCAACGTCAGGTGTATCAAATGCCACAAGTGGGGTCATGTGAACACAGACCGAGAATGTCCACTTTTCGGTCTCTCTGGGATCAATGCAAGCTCAGTCACTGCAGATGGGTCAGGTATGCAGGACACGTATTGTTTGTTGTAATCAGGTGTTTAATCACAAGCCAGACTGCATATTTAACTTGGTAGCCTGTTCTTGCTGCCCATAAAGTCACACTAAACTCCGGAGTTAAACTTAAAAAATATACATTCAAGTACTTTAGCTATTAACAAAAGTGTATCTAAGACACTTCCTGTCTTCGGGTTGCACTCTTACTCACTGTACTGTGTCTATGGAGAAGCAGCGTTGTATCCATAGGACATGACTACAGAACACAAGAGTAGAGGTGTTTTGTAGTTCACAGATATAGCTGGGAAGAATGTAGCTGATAAGAGTGCAGAACAGGCAGAGAGCACAGGACATTATTAGCTCACAAGATTTCTGGCAGGATCAACAAGTATTTTTTTGCACCTATCAAAAAGATGTAACAAAATTATTTCACTGCTTGAGGACGCATAAAATACAAGAATTCACTGCTGAAATGTCTCTTCTGTTGAAGTGACCCTTCCCAGACCCTTTGGAAACTGCCCAGTCATGACTGTCTCTACATGGATGTTTTTCTGCCACTGTCACTTTGTAGTCACTGGTGAATATTTAAATGTGACCAGCAGAAATGGCTCACCTGGTGCTTTTATCTACCACTGACTGCTTTTCGCGTGTACAACAAGGATACCCGGTACTGCTAATATTAAGGCCTAGATTTGCTCAAATGTGTCAGTGGGCCTTGTTTTTACTCCGGAGGATCTTCATATGTACAGATTTTATTGGCTTGACATTTATCTATGGCTTGGTTAGGGTGTAACGCAGTCCATGATCTAAAAAATTATGCGCAGAGTTTTATGAATGAAGAATAATTGCAGTTTTATATAGTTTTTCAGGATTACCTTTTTTGCAGTGACCCACTTCGAGAACCATATTTTACACCATATGCTTCCAACCTATGGTCCTTTTGTAAGCTTTCTGTGTGAATTAATTTCTTCCCAAAAAAAAAGACATGGACCCGACTACAGTTAGTACTATGAAATGCAATGTTTGCATTCAGAGAATTGTATGAACCTGAATTTTTTTTCTAGTCCCCAGGTGTTTTTTTTTTTTTTTTTTTTTTAAAATATCTAGTCAAAATGGTTCCTTTTGATAACATAACAGAGAACGACACAAAGCGCGTAAAAACGCTAGGGTATGTCTAAAAATACACACGACTATGTTTTAAGGTCACCACCCAACAGCATGAGGAGTCAGGGGAGGTTCCCTCTTGACGCAGCCCAGCCTGGCTTCATGGAGATGCTCAAATCCAAGGCTGAAATGATGAAAAAGATTTGCTAGGTATCTCTACATGGTGGCTTGGTCTTTGGAAAGTTTAGAAGCTTCAGAAAGGATGGCATTTCAGTGTTATCGAAGAGCTGGTACTTTCTGTTCTACAGATGTCAGGTGAACATATAGGGAGCGGGCAATAAGGCTGTGAAAAGGAAGGCAGCGTCTGCCAATAGCTTACAGGCAACGGTAGCAAATTGAGTGAAAATGGTGGAAAGTAGGATAACGCTGAGGTACTTTGTACACAATCCCTGACCTTTCACCTGACTGATGTTCTTTGCATCCAATGTAATGGGTTTTTGTCAGAATTCGGAAACTTTCTTTTTGACATTGTTTGAAAAGCTAATGTGTTTTAGCACCAGAGATAGTCTCTTTATCTTTGCTCGGTGAAAACTAAGGTCAGTACATAAAAAAAAAACACATTATTCAATTTCAAAATCATAAAACTTTCCTATTAAAAGAATAGAAGTGACATACAATACATGTAGGCGTGTGTGTGTGTAGACCGGCAGATTCATAGATTCTTTTCCTTTCAATTCCTGTTCCTTATGTTGTCTCAAAGTGTCAGTTTAGTCCTATGGTCTATGATCATGTCAGTGTAACCACAAATGTAAACTCCTTTTTGTAGACGTCTAGAGAAGTTGCATCACCATATAAATCAGAATATAACAGAAAGGATTCCAGTCTTCAGTTCCTTGTGCAGGTCATGGGACCTAAACTTCTATTCAATTGGTAAAATGTTCTTTAACAGAAAACTTATCAGATAGATAGATGGATAGATTCTATCCTATCTATCTATCTATCTATCTATCTATCTATCTATCTATCTATCTATCTATCTATCCATCATTGCCCAGATGATATGATATTAGAATTGCTTTAGAATTAATCGTGTTGGCATTCATGGGACTTTTTGAAATGTACTAATTCCATACAGTAAGTTGCTTTCTGAAAATATGTGAAAAGTTATTAGCAGCCCCTGTCCCAGTCTGCTGTGTACACACACACACACCGTATTGGCCATAGAGGCACACTCATTGTTTTGCAGAGGGACAGTGATGGTACTCCAAGTCATGTAAGTTGAGCTGTCTATCTAGTTTTTAACCTGAAACCAGAAGATCCCCCTAGGCAGATAGCATAGCTCATGCATGTACTTTGTGGTGCTTGTATTAAAAGAAACCTGCTCAAAAAGAAAACCTAGACTGATACTGCCGAACTCTCCATGTGAAAATGCTGGTTTCCTGGCTTTCATGCTGATATGACTTCAGCTGACCTGAACATTTAGGTTGCCAGTGAAGTCCAGAATTCCTAAACTGCAAAACTCTTTTGGCTTATTTAATTAAAGTATTAAAACCCTTGGATGAGCTTGTCAGCCTGGCAATTTCGAAGGGGAGGTCAGCTGATATTCTCTCAGTAATGATTCCCTTGAATCGACACATTATTGTTAAGCCATTTGTAGAATAAGATTTAAAACCAGACAATGTCATACAACTGATAGTTGATTTACTGACATTCAGTTCAATTGACATGCAGCTATCCTGTCATAACATAACATTTAAAAATACATTTGAAATCTACTTCTCTTAGTTACTTTGGCAGATGATGGTGATTACAGCAAATTGATTACAGAAATAGTAATTCCGTATCAGTCCAGTCAAGGATTCTTATGGCGGTAGGCATACCATGCCTTCCGATCTCTGATTCAATAGTCAGATGGTATCTTTCACAGACTCATTAGCAACAGCTTCTCTTTACGCTACGTAAAAACAAAGGGTCATAAATCCGACAACATTTGCTATGAAAATTAGTGATTGAAATAGTAGTAAGTCCCCGTCTTCTGACCTATTATGCGTTGTAAAATGTTTCTACTGTATGTGGATGCATTCCTGAAGCTGGACATCTCTTGCTGAATGACTAGATCTAGTTCAACCTCATCTGTCTACAGTGCAGGAAGACTGAGTTACTATTACTTTGGCTGCTAGGTTTCATACTATCCTTTTTCAACCCATTCTTATAAATCCTGACAGGTTTGCTTTAAGAAATGTCACTAGCTGAACTAAAAAAATATTCCAAAAGTATTTTAAACTCTCAATTTTTTCCCGGTAATGAATCCAGATCAAGCAAATATACATTGCCCACCCAGTAACGTATTTCTTGACATTTATGCCCGACAAATTACAGTCATGTGTCTGAACAGCTCCAACTTTCTCAGCTTGGCTTCCCTGAACTTCCTGTCCAGTACAAGATCACAAGGGACAGAGCAGTCTCCAGCAGCTGTAGCAGAGAGGAGGGATACCCCAAACGCCCAGACGCTGCATATGTTATTAGGCTGCTTCCACTGGATCCTTGACGAATTAAGCGGCTAGAGATAGGAGAAATAGACATGCTTCCTACGTTTGTACCTGTACGATATCATTTATCGACTGTATATGTGTTATTTGTTTACTGTAAAATGTTTGCTCAAAAATAAAGAATTTAAAAAGAAGAGAGGAGGGAGAAAGGACAGAAGCAAGGGGGAGGGGAGAGGCTTGCCCTGCTGTGCCTTTGTGTTTGTGGGGATACACACAGCTTACTAGCACACAAGGATGGCTCCATAGGACACTACAAGGGAAAGCCACCCTAAAATAGAATATCAGGGCCAGTGCTCAGGACCAGCTGATTCTGAAGGATTCATCCAGTGTAAGTGATTAAATCAACATATAAAATAGTAAAACAAAAAACAGACAGCACCTTTCCTAGTGTAAAAACGTTTATTTTATATAAAGTAAAAAGTCTCATAAAATGTACTCAGAGATAAATTGGAATGAGCAATAGGATAACAAGCAGATCCCAGAGAAGACCGACTAGCTGACGCGTTTCGGGGGAGCTTCCCCCTTCCTCAGAGCTAGTAAGTTACACAAAGACACAGGAATATATACACATACACGTCATGGGGGTCCTGTGGCAATCGACCAATTGGTAACCAATCAATCAGCACCAATCCTCTGCTCCATTGTACACCAATGAAGGCACAGATGACAACAATCAAGGTAAACTTAGACCCTATAGGAAGCATACACTGATTGCTTACCATATGTGAAATGGCAAACACTTCCGATCCTCCACCATGTCAGCATGATCATCGTTATCCCGTGTATGTCCGGGCTAAAGGCTGATGTCATTACCAGGGAGGGGCCTGGGATTGGCTATTGTAAGAAAAACAAAGAGGACAGCGTGCGTTCCAGCTATAAGCTGACGTCATAGCAAAGAGAGGAGCCTAACACCGGCAATGTGCGGGGAATACCCAATGAAAGGAATAGAATGAATACAGGGGGTGGAGAGACCTGACATGGAACAAATGCAGAATAAAGAACGCATGCAAATAAAAATGATATGAGACCCTGAATGTAATACTGAGCAGCCAGAATCCAAATGACTGGTAGTTTATAACATATAAAATAACTTATATTTTGACTTTAATATCTCGTATAATAATTTCTCTGAGAGTTCCTCTTTTAACAGTCATCTTTTACCATCTCTTTGTTAAAATAGTGCTACGTTAACAACGAAGTGTCAGAAATGCTGAATGATCAAATTTGGGGGTTGACTGTCTCTATTAATGTATCAGTCAGAGTTCTATTCCTTCCTCTATGTGTTTCACTGTTCTTATGTTGCCTTTTATTCTCCTATGCCTTTAGCCTGATGGCATACTAAGCTGCCAAGGCCTGGGCCTTTTAAACCTATTGTAATTATTTCAATAAGCAGAAAATGTTTCCCGTACGTTCATAATGGCCGGCACCGCAGGAATAACGAGTATGAAATGAGCATTTAAAGGCCATTTTGAGTGGCACGAATTTACATCTTGCCAATAGTGAAGTGAGCCATGGGTGCCAGTTTTTAAGTGGAATAATGATCATTCCAAGTAGCTGGATTTTAAATATGAGCCATATTTCACCACTGTATTGTGCTGCGAACATGAAAGTTTATAGCTGGCAGTCACATATTTTTCTGGTATGGTTGCTTTGTGCTGGATGGTAGTCTGCCAAGATGCTCGTTGCTTAATCTAGGGAACACCAGGACCCCTTCTTGCGTTGTCCTGTAATGAGAATCCTCCACAATACAACAGGCATTAGTAAGTTACATAAGAGGAGAATCCGGGCTCCTCGTTTTAAGACAAATGCAATTATTCTGTATTCCAAATCTCCTGGCTGCTGTTTTAGAAAATCATATCCGATGCTTTTCCCAGCAGAAGATTATTGAGTTGATTTAGCTGCGATTTGACTTAACAAAGCTTCAAACACATTCCTACCGCGGAGTCAGAATAAAGATAGGTAGATATCAGTGATGCATTCAAACCAAAATTCCTCTTCACAGGACCATCAATGCACCCCTCGGAGTTAATGGCGGAGATGAGAAACAGTGGGTTTGCTCTGAAACAAAATGTACTGGGAAGAAACCTGACCGTAAATGATCCATCGCAGGTAATGATCTTTTTTTTATTTATATATTTATCTATTTTTTCTTATCGGTAAGCTGAAAATATCTATACATTTACATCTGATTACTTGAAAATTGCTACTTGGCATTTGTAGGGTGGTGGTAGAACATTAAATGATGGCAGAGGATTTTTTTTTTATTTTAGACTTGCTATATAGGGAAATATTTTTTTTTAAATTAGTTTGTTTTGGTTTTTAAATCTCTTCTTGCTTAAATTGATCAGCGTTCCCCTAAGTTGTAAAGTGCCAAACTAGGTAATGGCTGTCATCCCCAAGTACATTGTTCTGTCCCTGATACCTGCTGGCAGAGCCCAAAGAGGATTTGAAAAGGAACAATAGAAAGAATTTGTATCTAGATGGACACAATGGTGATCGGCTGTGCTCCACATTGACTTGATGGTGCTGGAATAAAAAAATAAAAAAAACTGGGTGCATTAGGCTTTGTATCATCCCGACACACAGAGATTGCTGTAATTGAATATTCATAATAAAAGGCAGCTATCTCCACAGCAACAACACACCTAACTGTGATGCTGGAGCTGCCTGATGACCACTCCATAAAGCTTTTTTCTCCAAGCAATCTGTTCGCAAGGCACTTTAGTGATGGATTTGTCAAGAGCTTTTGAAGACAGACAAAGCACTGCATGGGCGCAAACTGCAACACATTAGAACACTTTGTAAAGGACAGGGATATTAAACTTAGTGCAACATATTACTTTCACTCTATATTCATGTTTTGTATCTTGTCCATTTCATTGTGCTCTGCTTGCACATTACATTGTCCCCCCGATGTACAGAAGGCTTTTATAGCAGTTGAATGTTTGAAATAGAGACTTCATGCTAACAACTGAGCTGTTATATTGCATAAACAAAGTCCACGTTTCTTGTTTTTTTTCACCATTTTACTACTTTTGCCATCTCTTCTGGAAAAATGTGCAAAATTATTATGGGGTCATTTGCTTTGATAGAAGCTGAAGCTTTTTTTTTTTTTTTTTTTAAGGTCGAAATAATAGTTGCTTTTACTACAGTCAAGCCTATAGTACAATGTTCTGAAACATCTGTCTTGCGATGATACAGACTCAGCAATCAGTTATATATTTTTTGTAATCGTTTTCTTTTTTCCTTCTTTGTTTCATGGTTGATTTCATCTGATGTCATTGAAGTGTAAATATGAATGGGGTAATTAGGCGTGCTAACTTAAAAATATTTGGTTGTATTTCCCCCAATAGATGTCATAGGCACAGCAGGAGTGATTGGGTGGACCTAATTCAAGTTGTGAAGTCTCTTCTCCACTAAGGATGACCCTACACATTACATTCTGATTGTACAGTCTTCTTCATACCTCTCTGATTGGATACCCCTTGCCTATGAGTCTGGCAAGGGGTTTAAAAAAGGTTGCCAAATTGTTAGAACTTAATAATTCTGCTGTAATGTTAGGAAACAAATCTACTAGTGCTGTAGACTTAAAATGACTGGTAGTTTGTTACCAACAATTCTCCAACAACCCTAAAATTCAGTTGAGAGGTGAGCTGGTAACTTGGAAAAGTTAGATCCAAAGCACATGCATCTACAATCAGAAAGAGATTGCACTAATTTAACTGCATGTAAGGTGTGCCTGGAAAATGCCCTTGCTGTCTAAAAGCATTAAAGTAAGACTACAGTTTGCCATTGAACATATAGACAATAGCCAGGGCTTCTGAAACCATGTGTTGTGTACTAAAGAATCAAAGATAGACTTGTTTGACCACAGTAACAGTAGGCATGTTTGGCGTTAAGTTGAAGATAGCATTTCAGGAGAAGAACCCCTTACCAACTGTGAAACGTGGTGGTGGAAATATGGAGTGGGGTTGCTTTGCTATTTTATGACCTGGGCAGCTTGCCGTTATTGAGTCAACTATGAATTCTTCATCAAATCAAAGTGTGCTTAATCAGAATGTGAGGTCATCTGTTCGAAAGTTGAAGTTGAATCGGAAATTGATCTTTCAGCATGATAATGATATGAAGCACTCTAGCCTATCCACCAAAGAATGGCTCAAAAAGAAGAAAAGGAGGATTAGGCACTAGCCTAGTTAAATCCCTGGTTTGCCATGTAGAGATCTCTGTCCTCTGTTGTATCTTACTTACTGAGCTAAAATAGCCCTAAATAAGTCATCCCACCCCCTCCTTATTTGATAGCAAAAGACAGCATTGTTTTAATTAGTTTAACACGGGCTGCTAGAAAGTATGACCGTAGTTCTGGGCTTTCTTAGGAAGACCAGCATGTTTTATAATGTGTAATGTTTCTGGGGTTTTTTTGTGTGTGTTTTTTTGTTTTTGTTTTTGTTTTTTTGTTTTAAGATTTAACACACTTTAAAATACATAAAACTTTACTTTTATAGTTTTTTGTTTTTTTAATATAACACTTTTGCACAATTGTATTTTTCACGAAAACCATAATATCCATGGCAGAGAGGTTAAACTTCTAAATAAAAAACAGTTTATGGTTTCTAAGTCACCAAATGGATCTTTAAGAAACATCTTTCCCAGTTGGTGTAAAGGGGAGGGAGGGTTTTCAATGATTATTCGGGATGAAATGGAATCTTCAAAAAAAAAATATTTTGCATAAATTCCACAATTTCTTTTTGGTAATAAAAAGCTCCACTTTAATCAATTTGATGTTCTTGATGGGGTTACACAATGCTGCATGTGTCTGTGGTTTGTTTTCTTATTTTTTATTTTTTTTGTAGGTTTATGTTGTCAGTGATGCAGAGGAGGAGGAAGATGACCCGGAAGTGGAGTTTTTAAAATCTCTAACAACAAAGCAAAAGCAGAAACTTCTGAGGTATGAATGCTAGGAAGTGGCTAAATAATTATTGAACTAAACAATATTACCACCCACCATATCTTGCTCCTACTCTCTACATCTCTCAGTAATACACACACTGGATTTACTGCTTCAACTTTAAAGTGACATTAAACCCTCAGATTTTTTAACATAAACCAATACTGTAATGTGTGCCTTACTGTAATCCATGGTAATTTCCCTTCTCTTTGCTGCTCTTCCTTTTTAAATGCTCATGTCTTCTCATGCTTGGGGAGAACTTCCCTTTGCAGCTGAGTGCCTCTTCCTGTAGTGCTGGCTCAGGTTGCAAACCAATACACAGACACCATGTAGCCATTCCAGAGACAAGGCAGTCTGCTGCAAAGCAGAAGTTCTGCCCAGCATGGGAACAGATACAGATTTAGTCAAAGTTTTTATTCGTTTCAAACAGGAGAAAAAATATAACATACATAGCGTATATTCAAAGGGTATGCAGGTATACAGGTAAGTTGGTCTAGAGGACCCAGTACATTTGAATGACTCCCGACAGGGGGGAGGTCTCAAGACATAGAAACAAATGAAGAGCTTATGGCGATGTAGGGCATATGAGCATCCGCAACTGAGCAGTGCTTTACGGCTCTGTATACCTCAATATATGTAGAGGGGAGGGGGGGGAGACAAGCCAATAGATGCAAGACAAGACAAAACAAGGACAGGACAATACAATACAGATAGTGGGGGGACGAGAACGGTCAATTTGCCCGTGAGGGTAGGTAGTAGCCTCAAGTAGTCACCTGAGACAGTGCCCAGTCTACAACATACGATACTAACAGAACACAGTAATAAAACAACTCCTAACTATGGTGCTGAGGTCAATAAGGCAGAAAAAGCAGCTGAGTCTTGAAAGCATATCCAGGGTAACCATAAGTTCGATCGGGAGATCGGGCGATAACTCCCAGGCAAGGAAGGGTCCTTACCTGGTTTTAATATCAGGGAAATATGTGCTAGCAGGGATTGAGGGGCAAAGGGACAGGAAGGGGAGATAGAGTTAAAGACATCCACCATTAGTGGGGAGAGTTCAGGGGCAAAAAGTTTTAAAAAACCTTGCTGTGTAACCATCAGGGCCTGGGGCTTTACCGTTTTTCGTGGCTTTGATGGCTCTAGTGAGTTCCTCAATGGTGAAGGGAGAGTTAAGGGTAGAGTGTAGCCCAGGGGATATGGATGGCAGGGGAGTCCTGTCTAGATATTCGGATAAAGCCATGGGGTCGCGTAGAGGGGGAGGTGTGTTGTCAAGGGAATCTAGATTATAGAGCTTCGTATAGTAATCATGAAAGGAGTTCAAAATGTCAGTATTTGAATGTACAGTATTACCGTCAGGAGAGCGTATGGATAAGATAGAGAGGGTGTATGGTGCGGGCCAATAAGGAGCTGCATTTATTACCATATTCATACGATCGCTTCAGGTAGCGATCCATGTAGCGTAAGGAAGCCTGATCTAGTAGCGCCAGCAATTGTTTACAAGTATTTAGGAGTTCCAATCCCGTGGAATCGTCTCCTCCTAGTTTGTGATCTCTCTAGTGTGGTTATCTTTGCAAATAATTAGGTAATTTGCTGGGATCTCCACTTCTTAAGTCTGGCACCATGCTTGACAAGGATTCCCCTTATTACGCATTTGAGTGCTTCCCACTTAATGGGGAGAGAGGTCGGGTCATTAGTATGATCTAGTTGGAAATTAGAGACGGCCTGCCTGATCTCCGCACAGCACACTGTGTCAGAGAGGAGATTGTCATTCAACCGCCAGAATGGGGAGGTGGGTGGCATCGCAGAGAAGCGGAGGGAACAGAAAAGCGGCGCGTGATCCGACCACACGCGAGGTCCAATGCTTATACCCGGGGAGGTGTCAAGTAAGGTTTGAGAGACAAACACGTAGTCAACCCTACTGTAGGAGTTATGTGCATGTGAGAAAAAGGTGTAGTCTGTGATGTCAGGATGTAGAGTCCGCCAAAGATCAAGGAGTTGCATGGAGGCAAGTTTAAGTTTCAACTTACGTAAGTCTGAATTCGAGACGGAACTTCTACCAGAGGATGCATCTCGGCGTGGGTCTAGAGGCAGGTTGAAGTCGCCACCCATAATTATGGCACCCTCCGCGAAGGACTCCATGACCCTCAGATAACGCAGACAAGCGGTAACCTGGGAAAAATTAGGCAAATGGATATTCGCAATTGTATACTTGGAGCCGTTTAACGTGGTTTTTAGAAAAACATATCGCCCCAAAGGGGTCAATGGCAGAGTCCAATACGTTAATCTTACATGTTTTGTGAATCCCAATGGAAACGCCCTTAGATTTAGTAGAGGGGTCAGTGCTGTGAAACCATTCCCCATAGTAGCGCTGGGAACAAGCTGGGTGCTTCCCAGCGCAAAGGTGCGTCTCCTGCAGGAGCACAATATCAACCTTTTGCTTATGCATGTGGTAAAGAATCTGGGACCGTTTTAGAGGGGTGGTTAAACCCTTTCACATTAAAGGAACCTTTTGACAGGGACATGCAAAAGCAGAGTAATCAGCATAATGAAGGTAACAGTGTGACCGATCAATGGTACGTACCGCCCCAGGAACACATAAAAGAGACAAGACCATACACAAACAAAACAGGGGTGACAGGACAAAGAACATAAAGAAAAACAACCATAACAAATAGAAAGGTGGCTCGCAAGGGGAGCCCAGATGGGACTGTACCATAGAGCCATGCCCACCAGGACAGGCTCCAGGTAGAGAACCCAAACATCTAAAGCTGGCCATATGGCCAAACACCTACTGTAACGTGGGTGACCTAGTGTGGGGGCAGGGGGGCCCAAACGGAGAGAACAGATGGAAAATCTGCTCGTGGGCGGCGCCCCACCACCAGCCTAGTAATAATAAACGCATATACATACTAAAGTAAGGATGGGGTTATGCATTGTAACTTGAACGATGCAAACAACATAAGGCATATCAGTGAGCTGTAAACTGAAACGGAGATGGTTTAACCAGCATGAACCATAACCATGAACAGACACCCCGCTATCTAAAAGCAGGGGTGACATGGGTTCCTAAGATATAGAGAACAGGGCAAAACAGTGTTCTCAAACTGTAAGGAACATTCCGCCATGGGACGAAAGTCTCCGGACCCCATTAGGTAAGCCGCCTAAAGGGAGGAAAACAAATCACTTCACCGAGGTTGCTGAGGAAGCAGATCTGCGAGGAGACTTCGTCTGCCAGTGTTCACGGACCGGGACATCAGGAAAGCTCGTGGTGTAGGGCCAATCCGGGAGGGATACCTGGGCCAGCTGAAAAAAGCCAAGGAACCGCGGCAGGTCACCCAGATGTCGGAAGATCGAGGATTTCCCATCGCGGGATGCAATCAGATGAAATGGGTAGCCCCAGCGGTAAGTGATGCTGTTTGCACGGAGCACTTCCAGAAGTGGTTTGAGGGCTCTGCGCATCTGGAGGGTACGGCGAGATAGGTCCGCCAGAAGGAGATTTGTGGAGCCGTTAAACTGGATCTCATCAGACTGCCGTGCCGCCGACATCACCGCTTCTTTAACTGAATAAAAGTGCACTCTGCAAATGACATCCCTCGGGCGGTTGGGGGTGGCTGACCGCGGGCCCAGGGCCCGATGTGCACGGTCAATCTCTAGCGGCTCGTCGTTGGGCTTCCGCAGGAGTTGATTGAAAATAGCACGTACCATGTCAGGGAGAGTCGCAGGTTCCACTGATTCAGGAATCCCACCGGAGGCGTATGTTGTTGCGCCGGGATCTATTTTCCTGGTCATCCAGTTGGTAGATCAGGTCGTGTAGCTGGACCGAGTGGTCTTGCAGTATCTGATGGTGTAGGTCCAATCTGGAAGATACTGTGTCCTGGGTAGTTTCCAGGTCATCTAAATGTGATCCGATATGGGCGACATCTGTTTTGAGCCCAACCATCTTGGCCTTGTAGGCGGACTCCATCCGAGACACATAATGCTCCAGATCTGCACGTGTAGGCAGTGAGCGAATATAGGCCTTCAGGTCATCCTCACCCTCTTCCCGGCCGGAATCTGCAGGATCCACTGACTCCTCTGATACTGAAGCCATCGACGGAGAGTGGGGGAGGCCTATCCGAGGGGTGGATATACCAGCCTGAGTGTTAGCCCGTCCAGCAGGGGATTCCGCACGTGGCGAGTTCCGGGCCTGTTCAGATAGGCCCAATCCAGCCGGCGGGGCCGCGGGGGAATGCGGCGACCTCTGCGAGGCTTGGAAGAAGGTGGAGAGCTTCCCCGATTTACGTCCACCCGTGCCCGGAGTTGTCTTGGGGTGTCTTTTGGTACCCATCAGGTGTTTAGGTCGCTAATGGAGCTGTAGAAAGGCTGTAAGGGGCGCCACGCACGGGAGCAGAGGAAAGATGCGACTCACTCCGCCATGCGCCGGCCACGCCCCTACAGATACAGATTTAAAATGAAGAGCAGCAAAGAGAAGGGAAACAACCATGGATTACAGTAAGGTACACATTACCGTATTATTTTATGTAAAAAAATCTGAGGGTTTAATGTCACTTTAAGTTTAAGAGTATAGGGTTGAATAACTAAAGATATAGGCTGTTCACTGGTCAAGTTTTTTGCTAGTGTCTTAGGAGGATGCCTTTTCTTCAGCTCTACTGTGATAAAGACGATCACTTTCTGTTTTTCTTGTTGTTTTTTTATTTTGATTTTATTTTTTTCAATCCAACACTCTTCTGTACATTGCTGGTGCTTCTACCAACTGTCTGCTTTTTGTGAGTATATGAGGCCCTGCCTCTTACCCTAAGCCTATACATTACCTTTCCATCACATTGTTGAAAGATGTCTGATTTTGAAAGGTGAGGGGATAGTCCGACTGCACTGGATGCCCGCAGCTCACTTTTTACTAGTGACTCTGAGGCTGCTTGAAGCTCCCCCACTTATAGTACCAACATCCGTAGCCTGAAGTCATATTGCCCTCTGCTATCCTGTCCTTGGAGTCCTCTTTAGCTTCTTTCGGGTGTGGCTGGGTCGTCTGCCCTTTATGGCTAAGGTTTTTACCACAGTCATGCAAGACTTTATGACACAAATCACCCAGTTCTGATTACACAGGCCATAAGCTTGCTCCCGTGCACTCTCCAGCAGATTCTATATCTGATTTGGAGTTATGCTCCTTGCCCCCTTCTTGGTTTCTCACATCAGACCTTTCTTTGTCAACACACAGACTAGCAGGTGTCCATCAAGCCCCCTCATCTTGGTTGAGGTGTTATTGCTACAGTTACTGTAGCAAACAGTTTCATATGTTTTAACCCACCCTGCCCACTGTTGCCATACCCAAAAGGGGTTCTGAATGTCTTAATTCGGGTCCAAAAATTCTGAATAGAATCCACCAAATGTATCATTGCCTCCCTTCACCAGGGAGACTTTCTGGCTTCTGTAAGCATCAAAGATGCTTAATTACATGTTCCAGCACATCAGGGATTCCTACACTTTGCGTTGGGGCCCCTACACTACCAGTTTGTGTTCCTGCCCTTCGGTGTCTCTCATCTGCATCTTGGGTATTCACAAGGTGCTGGTCCTAATATTAGCCTTGTTTTGCTCTCATGGCATCCCCATTGTGAAATACTTAGACAGACACCTGTTAAGACTGTCATTGAGAGTGCTATCGTGCAATGTGTCTCTGACTGTCCAGACGTTCGAGTGGATTCTGAACCTTCGAAGGTTCTCGTGGGAAAAGTCAGTTTGATCCCTGGACATACAGACAGACTTCCTGCAAGGACATGCTGTTTTTCTCAATGGATGAAAAAGAAAATAGAATTTTTCCAGTCACTGTAAAATCTTGGAGTCCATTTAAGGTCACATGTCCCATTCCTCCGTGTTTACGATCATGCTCTCGGGGACATCACTACTGACTTCATCAGTGGTACCATACAATTGATATGCCTTTAAAAGTTCCTGTTGTGCTCAAAGGGGTTTTTAAACTACTTTACATGCGTGTAAATCACTGACAATTGATGCTGCTCCTTGATGTTTCAAACTATTAGCTTCCTGCAGAATCAGCTGGCCCCCTGAGCACTGATCCTCTTTTAGGGAGGCTCTTTTCCCTTGCAGAGCCACCCTTGTGTGTGCTAGTAAGCTGTGTGTCTCTACAAGCACACAGGCACAGCAAGGCAAGCCTTCCCTCTGCTATCCCCCTCTTCCCTTCTCCCCTCTTCCCTTCTCCAGCCTAGTAGATGAACAGCTGATGGAGACTCCTCAGACCCTTGTGATCTTGTACTGGACAGAAAGTTCAGGGAAGTGGAACTGAGGGAGTTGCATGTGTTTGGAAACGTGATGACTGTAAGTGCTTGGGCAAAAATTTAAATAAATTGCTAGACAATGTATATTTGTTTGATCTTTATTCATTACTGAAAAAAAGTTTGATAGTTTTTAATACTACCTTTTAGGGCTGGTAATGATTAAAATTTTCGTGTTCGATTAATCTAAAATTTTTTTTAATCAATTAATTTCGATTAATTATAACGCACATACAGATCCAACTACATTGGCCTATACACATACAGCACAGCAATGAAGTAATACAATGAACTAGGATCACACTAATCCAGCACGTGTGATCCTAGTTCATTTTATGACTTCATTGCTGTGCTGTATGTGTATAGGCCAATGCCTTGGCTGGCGCTCGTGCAGAAAGTTTAATGGGCAAACTCACCGGCCCAAGTAGCTCCGTGGGCAAACGAAAGGGGGAGGAGTCTGGTGACGTCACGGACATCGCCATCAGCGGACTCCTCCCCCCTTCCCTTCGTTAGCCATCACGGACATCGACGTCACCGGATTCCTCCCCCCTTCCCTTCGTTAGCCGACTGAGTCACTTGGGGAAGGAGTCCTGTGATGTCCGTGACGTCACCGGATCGCTGACGGGACTCCCGGAAGCCGGCTGAGAGGTGAGTGTTTTCATTAGCGATTTAAAAAGTTTAACGATTAATCGAGAAATTTATCTTTTTAATTTCCACAGCCCTACTACCTTTTAAATTAGTGAGTAAAGCTTCTCTTTCAGGGAAACCAGAGGATTAGCTTAACTGTCAGGGAACGGCCTACTTTTTATAGAAGCTGGCAAGAGCCACTTGCTTTTTTGTCATGGCAGGTTCCATCTACACTGATGTAAAAATTTCCTTTTTTTTACATCACTATTTTTCTTTAGGGGGGAATTGATGGTTTAGAGAAGTAGAGCCTGTGCCAATTATCTATTTGCTGACTGTGCCCCTGTTGGGTAAGTTCTCCTTTTATACCAATGTGCTCCGCACAGGAAATTAGGGGAAATCTCTCCAAGTAGGCTTATATGTATCTCATTATGTCCCCTCCCTCTTTAACCAGTTTAGTCTATTACAAGTTACATTTCTATGTTTTCTGTAATAAATACTGAAGAATTCCTGGAGAGAATCAGTGCTGTGAGCAGAACTCTGAAATGATTGTCACCATTTTCTCCAGTCATGTATAATTTGTTTGGCTACCCTCTAACAAAACACATCCGATTCTTTAGTTAGAATCAAACTATCTGTGCATCTTATCCAATCTGACCCGTTCCACATGGGTGTCCTTATTAAATAGTTTCATGTGCTTGTTCTGTACTGAGACAGACAAATATAAAGTCTTATTAAACAGCATGATCCTTGCGTTTGTGAAGTGGCAATGTATACTGTAATTGGCTCGTCCATTGAGGGGAAAATATTCAGCCATGCCTAGAATGAGGGGAATTATAGGATTTAGACACGGAGTTGTTGAATAGTTTCTCTATTGGTTAACTTTGTCTTGACAGCAGGAATGCTGGGATTACACAAAACAATGGTGGGTGTTTACGTAAATTACACGCACATATTTTTTCTAATGGAATATATAACTAGTTCAGGCCATAAGCCAAGTAATATTTTTATGCTGTGAATTTATTTCATGGACAATGAAGAACCAGTAAGCTTTTTCCCCCATTATGTGGGCACAAAAAACAAGAAATACTACATACATTATTGAACGTGGCTGGTGTGGAAGTTCATTCAGGCTAGTAAACCAGTGCTGATTAGCACAGCCTCATGGCTTGGTTCAAACATTTCTTTCTTTTGCTGAAATACCTGTGTTGCTGGCTGATTGGGAATTTGGATCTTCTTTGCAACACACTCAGCCTTGCACTGAACAATACAAAGCTTTTTTTTTCATATTTAAAGGAAAACTGTAATGTTTTTAAGTCAGTTATGTTATAAGTTAATTCCTTTTTAAATTGATGTTTAACAGTAAATGCCAGGAAGACATAAACAACCGAAATTAACGCAGCTCTGTATTCATAAATACATAATAAAATGTATTTATTTTTTAATTCAATGTGAAAGGACACCTGTAAGATGATAATATTAGTTCTGCCATTGCTGACTTGTTTTTTTAGGGTGCACTCTTCAAGGCTGTCATCCTTATACTTGCTGCACTATTTAGTGAGTCACTGGCCTAGAACAAGCATATTAGGTGTCTCCACATCTGCTCTGCACTTTCTTGTTCCAGTTCAGTGGCTTACCAAATAGTGAAGAAATGCACTTTGACAAATAAGTTGGCAATGGCAGAGAGAGCACCTTCCAAAGCAAGTCATTGATAAATTTGTATGGATATGTAGATCTGAGGGAGGAAGGGTGCACAGAAAGGAGTGATAACAAAGCTACAGCCCTTTCCAGAACTACCTTCAACCCATGCCTACAGAAATAGTCTAGTCAATCAATGCAGACAGCTCCAGACTTCCTTATGTATCCCCTTGCAAGCAAGTTAAAAGGTTTTGCCCATGCCCTGATCTGTTTTCAAGATGGATATAATCACAGGGTCTTCTAAACTGATGCTAATGGTAGGAGTTGGCAGGGCACTCTACGTGTAATGTGTCACACATAAATAAAAATGCCCAACTGCAACTCCCAAAAAGTAATCAGTCATTTGGTGGGTTGGGTATTAGGAGCAATTTCTGCACAGGCACTTATAGGGGAGCAGAGAAGTCCCCTGTCATCAGTGCAGCATCAAAGTAGTAGGTATTTCTTAGTAAGCTGCATTGGCATGCAGACCACTGCTTGTAATGTCCACATGTGAAGTGTGTGGCATGGTAATGACAGCCTGTCTGCTGATGAAGGGTGTGAATGAAACTGTAGGTCATTCAGATTCATGTTAAAGTACAATTGCAGAGCACACTCTGCAGCACACAGTGTATAAAAAGATAAGTGATGTATTACCAATGAGGAGCACATCCTGAACCACTGGGGGGAATAAAAGATCAGTCTAGAGTTGGGCTTTAAGCTGAGTGCAAGGGTTTGTGGGCAAAAAAACTCCAGGTAAATGAATTGATCTGTTTCGTGTGCACAATGTCATGGATAAAACTAGAAGTTCGCCAGTTTTTCTGTTGCCTTTAGTTGCTGTACAACCTGCATCTTGGTTTGACTTTCATTATTTACTCCTGTCCCAGAAAACTAGATCGTCTTGAAAAGAAGAAGAAGAAAGACAAGAAAAAGAAGCTAAAAAAGAAGAAAGGAAAGAGTAAGCAGAAGAAGCATAAGAGCAGCAGCCGCAGTAGTAGCTCCTCCAGTGGGTCATCTAGCAGTAGTGACAGCTCCTCTGAGAGTGAGGATGAGAAAAGACATCGGAAAGATTCCAAAAAAACAAAGCGTGCCAAGGAATCTGATGATAGCCGTAATGACTGTGAGGATAAAGCAGTGTCACAGAAGAGCAGAAGAGAAGATGAACCTTCATCTAGCCAGAGGAAAGGTCATGGTGGTTGGGAGGAGAACCGCAGCTCCAGATCTGAGATCCAAATGTCTCAAAAAGAAAAGAGGGAACATCACAGGACAGAGGAATACAGCCGATCACATCAAAGAGAGGAGAAATCAGAGAAAAGCCATAGGCCTGAGAAATCTCGATCTAAACGGAGCCCAAGTAATGAACGATCAAGAAGCAACAAGTATAAAAGCAGGAGTCCAACCAGAAATGATCATCGGGACAGGAAGCAGTATGACTCTGAGAAGAGGCGCAGAGGGTCGAGGAGCAGAAGCCGAGACTGAGGGAGACGTAGGAGCAGTGAAAGAGATCAGTCTTTTACCTACTGCAACCAATCTAGTTCTAATATGTTTTTTAATAGACAATGTATGAGGGAAAGAATTTAATTGGATTGATTTTAATAGACAACACTTGTATAAATATCTAGTCACAGTCAACCAAATGGTTTTTCCCTCTTAAATAGAAAGCATTGTTTATTACTCATTTTTGTTTTACGTCATTTGTTTTTCTTTTGAGACTTGTTTTCTTGTTTATCCAAATCTTCTTCTAAAAGGGCAACTGTATTTTCATTAAAAAAAACCCTTGCCATAGGGAGACTTCTTAGTGTGTATACATAAGCATAGCATTTTATAAACGTAAGGTTATCATTTCATTGCTTGGCCTCTACGGTATCTTCCGATGTTCCTGCATTAGCTAAATGGGGCATGTGTGTGCTGGAGGAGGAAACTGAAGGGTGGAATCTGTGCCTGGCTACCTTTTTATAGTAAATAACCTGCCTGACACGGACCCCGTCCCTCACTTCTCCTCTTGGAGGATTTGTCTGCCCCTTCAGTAATTCTGAAGGATCTGCTCTGGCCAACTATAGACTGGACATCTGTATAAAAACCTTCCTCATATAAAAGGTTATATTTCATCCTTTGGTAGCTTACAGACTTCTTATTGCATGGGAACATTTTGTTAAAGAAAATCCATGGGCATACCATGTAAAAAAGGCCTCGGGTTTATAGAACAAGCATCTTCCAGAAAACTCCAGCCACTGTGGTATAGACATGTCTACCAGATTCTATGATTGAGCAGTGCCCCCCTTTCACCCATGAATCTGTTGAACTGTTGGCTAAGGAGGCTGCCCTTTGCATTTAGTAGGTGCAAAAAGTGGCAGGATTTGGCTTATTTACAGACGTTTTGATTGTCTTCTCCTAAAATAGCTTTTTTTCCCCCAGTGGCGCCAATTTCTATAGGACAAGCTGTTTTTTTTTTGGGGGGGGGGGGGGGGGAGCCCCCTCCCCCCATTAACAAATGTTAAACCCGCCCACTCTCCAGAGAATAAATGTTAGGATGAGATGAATGAGTGATGTGTCTTATCAATGATAATTGCTAGTTGCTTAGCAGCCATCATGCTGAGACAATGGCTTCAATGCCTTGAGTCATTAACTTGGAACAAATATGCAGATAAGAAATTGTGACTTCTTCCAGCATGCTGGTTTCTTGTCTGTGACTTGAAGCATTGCAGGCATTTGTTCAGCACAACATCCAGGGAACCAGCATCTTCAAAAGGTCAACAATGGCAGTCCTTTTCTGTTTCTCTGCACACAGATTTTTGTTTTTTAGATGTATATCTAGCACCCCTGTTGAGTTTTTACTGCAAACCGGGGCTTTGTTATGATTACTGTCCTAGTGATAATGGTTTAGCCCGACAGGAAGTGAGAGTGAAACCCCAAATTCACTTTCTAGAAAAAGTGAGAGTGAAACCCCCGATAGCAACGCAAACAATTTTCTTATTATTTCTTTTACTAGTAACTTATTTGAAGATTTGATCCGCGGTCAGCATTTTATTTCTGTCTGTGTCCCTGCTGCAGATTTTCCCCTCACTTCCTGTCTGGTGAAACCTCGCCATGACCATACAGCTGGGTACACACAGAGCAAATTTGATTTGTGTATGGCCCCATTCCCTCGACAGAAGTTGATCATTGGATTGACTTTTGCTGAAAGGGACATGCTGGGAAATCATCAGCCGAACAGTGTTTGCAGCACTGTTTGCTGCAAGCGTTGTTTGGGTATTCTGACAGCGGCTGGTGCAATGTACACTGTGGGAGATTCGTTTATCAACACTGCTAGCATGGATGGAAGAACCTGTCACATTGTTTTCATTCAGCCTGTGTGTACCCAAGTGAAATCTCTCCATTGGAGCCCGTGGACAAAAGTAAAAAGGTTCTGTTCTCTATCCAAAACAAAACCAAAAAAAGGTTTTGGCTGGACATGCACTTAATTTAAGAAGAACCTCATCATTAATACATTGACAGCAGTGGATGTCTTCATTTTAGGCACTACACAATACAAGTTTTATCTCACGTTCAATTCCCATTTCCCATGGAGATCTTTGCTGTTACTTAAAGCAAAACTCCAGGTATAAATATTTTTGTATATTTACATTGGTTTAGCTTGGCCCTATGTAGGTATATGTATTTTATACTTACCAGGGCCATGGTGATCCTGTAAAAGCACTGTAGTAGCCAAAGCTTCTACGGTGCTTTACATAGATTTTCCAATTCCTGATACTGCAATGAGAAAATTCCCCTCAGCTGTAAAAACACAGGGGTTGCTTGCTCAGTACAGCAGCCATTCAGAGAACACCTAGTATTTTTATCAATGAATACTAGGGGGGTTATTCACAAAGGGGTGAAGAGTTTGGAGAAGGCAGGATAAGTGACCAATCTAGGACAATATGGCTGAACTGGAAAGTGAGCTGAATTGGAGAATTTTTCCAAATCGGCTATTTTGGCCTAGATTGTTCGCCCCTAGGTGTTTTCTGATTGGAAGAAGGGCAGGACTGTCATGTCACCACCCCTTTTATATTTTTGCCCGGTGTTAAGTTTTGTGGGCCTATTCACATCTGCTCTATGTGCAGTGCATTGAATGGCACCCAAACAGATTGTATAGTACAATGCAGTGCACCACAATACATATACTGTGCATTGTGGTGTGCTACAGGGTTAAAAAAGGAATGTTTTTACATCTGTTGTGGTACATTGGAAGCCCATTCTGAAGGAGTGAGCTGCCTTAACACAGTATGTACTAATGTGTGCCATAACATGCATTAATGGAATGCTGAAGTGTAAACGAGTCCTACATGTTTTTATTTTCTTTTGCACGGATGTCTCATTTCCAATCATACGCTACAATTAACGCTACCATTCTATTAAACCAAAGGCTAGCAATTTGCTATATATGGCCTCAATTTCTGGGGGAGTAGCTGAGAGTATTTAATCTGTAACAGCCACGTATATTTGAAATGTGGTATTCCTCTTCCTCCATTCAGATGTTATAAGATTCCCTACCATCAAGCAGTAGTCCACCAAGTGGAAAATAAAGGGGAAAAACTGCTGCTATTTAGCTATATCAGGCATGATGAAGTACAAGATGCCTGCTGATAATAGAGCTGGTAGAGATATTAGCTCAACGGTGCGCTGCTTCTCCTTTCCCTGTCCTATGTGTAGGGGTACAGAGGAGACCTGAAAGTGAAGTAAAACTGCAGCAAATCAGGTCCCCTCGCCTTCCAGACAGGACTGTCCTGTGTGGCAAAGCTGTGTATATATCCAGACTGGACAGACAGAAATACAAATTCTTTGGCAGGTAAAACAGCTCTCATATATTTAAATGACAACAAATAATAATGGGCAGCACACCGAACAACAAGGTGTAAAAAGTGCAATCCCACCACCTACTAGACAGGAACTCGCCACATCAGAATGACCACTAGCTTAAAGGTAAGAGTGCACTTTATATCCTCCTCTCCATGGAATCAAACTCAGTTCCCTCTCTGGTTTTACCAGGGTAAAGGTGGCCATACACTGTACAACCATCGCAAGACCTTAGTCTTGCGATGGTTGTAAAGGGATTAAAAAAACGTACGATCTGCCTATCTTGGACAGGCAGATCGCACTCTCGATCATCGCAAGCCCGCCCCCCTGAGGGGCGGGCTTCCGATGACCGCAATGCTGAACGGGCAGTGTGCGCGTGCGCACACCGGCCCGTTCAGCATTTATCTTCCGAGCAATGTTCTAACCAGCCGAGAATCGTACGATTCCCGGCTGGTTTTCGAACATGCTGGTTCGACAGAAGACGTGCGACCGTACAGTAGAAATGGTCGCACGTCTCCGTTCACACTGCTCGATTATCGTACGAAAATTCGATCGCATACGATTATCGTGCAGTGTATGGGCACCTTTATTCACAAAAGGGTGAAGAGTTTGGAGAAGTTAACAATCTAGGACAACATAGCTGAAATGGAAAGTGATCTGATTTAGAGAATATTTCCAAATCAGCTATGTTGGCCTTCTCCAAACTCTTTAGTCACCCTTTTGTGACTGTCAGTTGCTTGTCTGCTCAGCGCCTGTTTTGTGGCTGTGGGGAACCCACCCCTGGGTCTCTGGGGTGTAAGTGCTGAGGCATTGCCTTTCAGCCACAAGGTGTTCAGCACTGCAGATTTCTATTCTAGCCCCACCTGCTTGTCAGCTGCAGCCAATCCACAATCATCTCAGCCTTTAAATACCGAGCACTCCCTGTGCTCTGAGCCTGTTTATTTGGGTTTGTTCCTGTGTGTACTGCTGCTAGATTGATCTCTGAATATTACTGAGACTTTGGCCTGTTTCATGACTACTCTTCTGCCTGCTGATTTTGTACCTCGCTGCCTGTTCGTGTTAGACCTCGGCCTGTTTCTTGACTACTCTCCTGGATCCTGATTTTATACTTCACTGCCCCTCTGTTGCTAACTCCGCTAGCATTTTTAAACAAGGTTTAAACAGTAGGGAACACTCGCATGGCATGAGTTCCTCCAGCTCTATCATGTAATTGTGTTTGTATACAGAGTTTCTGTAAGCTAATATTAGATCAGAGCTACAATCCCAATCTCCAATGTCTGACGCAGTACTGGGCTGGGCACCAAAGTGACTCCAAGCCCCGGTTAATGCGTATGGCCACTTCATCAGAGGCGTGATGGAGACGTGTATGATAAAGTTCAAGCAACGAAAGCAGGAATGGTTGGCCAAACAACAATACTGCAGCATCAGCTATGTGGTGGCATACCTAGAACCAAATTAAACTTTATTGTTTTTGGAACTCGGTTGTTTTAAATCTGCTTTTCCAATGGAAACAATACATCATGAAATGTTCACTGATCTCATTAAAGATGTAAAGAAAGAAACCATAACACCTAAATGCAGTGCTCTCACTTTGGTTCAGAAGGCTTTTATAGCCAGCTGCTTGGTAAACGCATGCTACTGATAAATACCTGGGCTACCTTATTTGTCCCAACAGGGCATACAGGTTCTTTGGAGTAGCTTGTTTGATTGACATCTGTGCCTTTTACAACTTAGTGAGCAG